CTGTGCAGATATTTTACGGTCACTGACCGATTTACTCGGCTCCAAAGAATAATCTGTTACTTTGCCCCCCGCCGCAATTGCCGCTATCGAAATAGCCAAGCAAGCTATTGCTCAGACCACAAAGTTACCCTTCCTCGATACTCACGAAAGCACAAACCTGATTTTGCCAACTGATGTTTCGAACGCTGCCGTCGGTGCCGTGCTTCATCAAGTTGTTAACAACACATCTCAACCACTAGCGTTTTTCTCGCAGAAGATGCAAGCTGCCCAAACGCGTTACAGTACTTCTGGTAGTGAATTACTCGCAATTTACCTTGCTATTAGCCATTTCCGGCACTTGTTTGAGGGTAGTTCGTTTACCTTTCAAATCAACCATAAGCCGCTCACCTATGCCTTCAGCACCAAGCCTGATCGATATTCACCACGCGAGATGCGTTATCTCGACTATATCTCACAGTTCACTACCGACATTCGGTACACTTCAGTTCGGACAGTGTCGTCGCACTATCCCGTCCTGACATCAACGCCCTTCACGTTTCCACGCAGTTGGACCTAGCCAAGCTGGCGAACCTTCAAAACAATGATCCCATTTTTTTGCCCATTCTATCCTCCCCTTCATTTCAAGTCTCTTCAATTCCGTTATTCCTCCAATCCAGAACCATTTTTTGTGATATGTCTACCGGATCAGCTCGCCCAATTGTCCCCGAAGCTTTTCGATGCGTTGTTTTCGACCACTTCCATGGATTTTCTCATTTAGGAATCAGAGCAACCAGGAAGTTGATTAGTGCACGCTTTGTATGGCCCTTCATGAATAAAGACCTGACATCCTGGACCAAACAGTGCATTGCCTGTCAACGCAGTAAAGTACCTGGGTACACGAACTCACCTATTGGTTCATTTGCCGTTCTTGATGCTCGATTCACACACGTTCATCTCGACATTTTTGGTCCTCTTTCCCCATCAAACGGTTTCACTCATATACTTACCATGATCGATCGTTTTACCCGTTGGCCAGTAGCTGTACCCATTTCGGATACTTCAGCTGAAACGTTTGCTTTTTCATTTTTGCAACACTGGGTGAGTAATTTTGGTATACCTTCCACCGTTACTACCGATCGCGGTTCACGATTTCAGTGTAATCTCTTCCGGGAGTTTTCTACACTATTCGGTTTCCATCACATATCGACTACCGCGTATCACCCCTGTTCTAACGGTTTGGTTGAGCGTTTCCATCGATACCTCAAAGCTGCATAGACTGCCCAAATGAACCCATCTTCATGGTCCTCTTCTTTACCCCTCATTTTGCTTGCTATTCGCTCCACTATTGAGGAGGATCTTCACTGTTCCCCAGCCGAACTAGGATACGCTACAACTCTACGTCTACCCGGTGAACTAGTTTCCCCTTCTGGCGCACAGCCCGAATCATCCGTTACATTCGTCTCCCGTCTGAAACAACACATGTCCGAACTTCGTGCGACACCGACCAGACGATCAACGCCAACAGAACACATCTCAACCGAACTCTCTTCTACTCCATTTGTATTTGTCCGACATGGCGCAACAAGGAAACCCCTCCAACCCTGTTATGATAGCGCCTTCAAGGTTATCGAACGTCACTCCAAATACTTTGTTTCAGAGAGAAGAGGAAAGCGTGATACGTATCCACTGATCGCCTGAAACCTGCCTACATTGAAGCACCCACGACCATATCCAGCAAACCTGCTATCCCAACAGCACCCACACATACCCAAGATATCCCTCCCACCAAATTCACTCCTTCCACTAGTTGTTCCGGACGTCGTGTCCGTTTCCCTCAGCACTCAGCTGATTACGAAACTTGAAGTGACCAACTTTGTGATTCGTTACTTTAGTTACTCGAGCGTTTTCCATTTTCACGGTCAACGCTCTAGTGGGGGAGTAGGTGGCGTTTGTACCTTTATTTTACTTCTATTATAACACTACGTGGTTCCTCAATTGTATAATCGTTTTTTGTTTCAATACGAAAAACTACAAAAAAAGCGCACTTGTACAATTTCACAAAATACAAGCGTGGTCACGTGCTTCGACTCTCGTTTCTGATTTCGCTCGCGCTTGCAGCGGTCATTCGCGAGTCTCATGTACTAACTCTGGTACCGAAACGTTTCAGACATCTTCGGAATCTATTATATGTGGGAACTGTTCAGAAGAAGACCTCTGGACCAACATAATTGGATTATTGCTTATTCGCTGACCTGGGCCAACGACGAACTATTTTAAAGGGAACAATTGTTGGTGAGTCTGTCCCATCTGATCTTTTTATTTTTGTATACCCAACCCAGCGTAATTATTTTCATCTCTTTGCCACACTCCTGGTAAACTAACTTATTAGGTAGCCAGACTGCTACAGTACACCCATTCTTAGCGCAAAATAGCGTTGGTGCTTCGATTACTGGATGAGCGCACAAATATCACAGACTTATCCTTCATGTATTCATTTAAGGTCTTCTCACACCCACAAATTTCTCTACGAAAGCCACTTCCGAAGCCATAGCAGACGACGTTCAAGCCGAATGTGCGCCAATAATTTTCAAATGTCATCGATTAACACAAATCGCAAAAAAATAACGGCAGATGAGGGGGGTTTTCAGTCCACGCATATATGCAAAGAAGTGCAACATTTTGACGTTAAAGTTTTTATTTCCTCCGCAGGCGTTTTGCAGAAAAATACATTGTGCGTCTAGCCACCGGCCTCCTCAGACGGGATGCAGCTCGAAAATTCGAACAACGCGCTGATTCCACTGTGTAGAATGAGCCACGGAGTATCACTTCTTCCCATGCTGTTCTCAAACGAACGAGAAATATGAATCTTGCTTTTTACAAGGAGAAGCCTCAAGGACGTTTCAGGTGAAAATGCAGTCCGGTTTCGATGCGAACTTTCCTCCCGTTTTGTTAGACTACCCTAATTATTCAGTTTGAAAAGGCTTCTTGGCGGTCTCGGGGACTATGTTGGTACTGGCGTTTTTCCTTCAAACCTTAAAGGCGGTTCTCGCTTCCTTCAGAGTGGGACAGGATGCCCCACAGTGAGGATCCGTTGTTAAAAGCCAAAATTCTGGTACCAGTCGAAAATAATGTACTGTCTGTCGGCACTAACTGCCATGAGTCATCGGTCAATGGGGCAGTTTCCACGCCGTCTGGTGAACCTCCAACAGATGCTGGGATTGATGTGCCAGAAGGCATAACAGGTATGTGTATAGTGGCTTCTCACGTGGTTTGTAGCTCTTGGCAGCATAGATATCCCTACGGAAACAGATGGTGATTCCAAGACAGCTTCCGGTTTCATGCTAATAAGTGTCCGACACCTGTCAAAAGCTGGACGTGAGGATCTTCGCAATCGGTCGGTATCTTTGCCACTGAAATGCAGGAGGTCCGGCTCAGAGCCCCTGCACTACAATATGTTTGAACCTTCGCATGAAGACAGCAGCCCGACCTCTTCTCAGAGTCACGCGGGCGAGGATGAGTACTCCAATGATGGCTTTTACGGCTCTGGGTCAATTGAGGCGGAAGAATTCGAAGATGATGAGCTGGATGAGGACGAAGCAGCTCACAGTGTTACTTTGGTTGTTGGTGCTTCTGGGAAAAACTTGAAATCATCCCTGCTGAAGTCAGCGACGCATCCTGATGCCTCTTTTTTCTCAAATTCCATACGCGAGGTCAGTTTCGTTTGAAGCTTTGTGGGTCTGGGAGTTTTCCCCATAACACATAGTCTCGTAGTTCCCTTGTCTCGCCCTAGGTCGTTAATGTTTTCTGACGGTGATGCTGTGCCATCTAGAATGACTTGTACGAATGCAGATTTCCAACCGAGTCAGGATTACGCATTCAAGAATGAATAAGGAAAACTCATTTTGTGCGGGACTAGTTTGTCAGTTCCAACTCAAGCTTACGTCCAAGTCACTACTACCTTAAGTCGGGATTACTTTAGTCATATAGAGGTGTCGTCCTCAACTATCATGGGGGCGAGATGGCCCAAGTGGTTAGAGCGCGAATTTACTGACCGGAAGGTTCGTGGTTCGAATCCGACCTCCGCCATTCGACTTCCCCTGTCTAGGCTTGGGCAACCTGGCAGTATCCTAGCCCTCTTGCTTCCTTCGGGTGGCATGGCAGCTAGGCACCGGAAGGGTGCTGAACGCTTTTATCATGGGTCTGTTGTATTTGTGCTTGGACAATGAATAATGATCGGCTGAGACGATAGACTTTTGTTCTGCTTAACAAACTTGTGCGTGACGTATGCACACTCATAAGTCATGCAGTTCAATTGAACATATTTTTCAGTGTTAGATTTGTCTTGAACACGAGACTGGTCGATGGTCCCTGTGTTTTGGTGGACGTCTGGTATCATCATCATCATCATCATCATCATCATCATCATCATCATCATCATCATCATCGACAGCATGATATCAGTGTTCAACACTGATGCTTCACTGCCGTCTGGTAACAAAATGTGAGCTTCCACGCTGAAGGTTGGCGCTTGAAATGAAAAGATCGAGTCCTTACGCATCTGAATGGATCGATCACCACTATATATGGGAGTACATAATTTACCTCCGAACCGTCCAATTCGGTCTTTCCTGTCACCAGTTAGAACTACGATGTCAGTGATTTTTGCCTGTCGCAGAAGGTTGGAATGATTGCGACGGAGTTTGTCTTTGGCGGCCTCCATGCTGTTGTTCACCGGCTATAGGCAGAGCCGGAGAAAAAGATCGTTTCCGTCCGCTTTTGATCGTTTCGCTTGTCCTTGTTAGTCGCATGTTACACAGTCTACGGTTCACAGGAATCCAGTCTAGTAAAGTCCCCTCAAATTTCGAGATCGTGGCGATTTCCTTGCGATGAATACCACGAGACACAGTCTAATGATCGCTAAATACTCGAAGAATAGAGCGTGATCGGGATAAGTTTATCTGAACCGTTCGGAGGTCCACCGCCGTGACAGAGCTTACGGCACCCTTTGTCTAGACGCTACAGACCACTATTTTCGGCACGGGATGCACAGGTCAGGGAGAAGGGTGTTGACCGTATTTCTACATTATTCCAAATCCTTCAGCAGCGTCACATGAACCGCTTACCAACAATCTCGGTTTCCTTCTCTTTAGAGCCAGTTTGCGTGCGTAGTACAGCGTTACTAACAAATCCCATGCTGTGGTGGCTCTTAAACTCCAACGCGATAACAGCATTTACTCAACTAAACAACTTAACCACAACATGGTCTACAGGTTTCAGTAATTTGTAGACGGGGACGCCAGATGGCACTCCGGCGGGTGCTATTGTGGAGGTTGACGCCTGGGAGCATTCATTTGTCTGTACACAGCAGAAGTGTTCACCGTCGTCCACTTGTTAAACGGACCTACCACCTCTGACGCGCCAACTTGAACATTCTTATATGGGTCGGATAATACACCTAACCTCTACGACCTGAGTGGGCCCCTTGAGCTTGTGATAGAACTTGATTCTCAGCAGTTACAGCTGGAGCAAGGGAATGGACGGATTATTGGGGATCAGTCCTAAAAACCACACACTAATGGGTCAGCGGTTGGCGGGAACTGTTGATGAACTATCTAATATGATCGGAAAACGATTGCATCCGGTGCCCTCCTGTAACCCTATGCACACTCACCGTGCATCAAATCTCCATGTTTAACTCCCGGCTATCTCGGGTCACGTCCTCCTTCCGTAGCCAAGTGTGCCATACCATTGAGTCACTTATTCAGGGAAGGGTCCCTAGAAAATCACAGCTGCTGCCTGGCGGGTAAGATTGTTGTTTGAAAGTCTATGTTCAAGGTATCGGGTTCTGAATTCTCCCACTGCCTTCTGGATCAGATTTCTGCGCCGAAGACTCATGATGTGGAGCACCTGTAATGCCTTCCTGCCTGGATAGTACTTACCAGACTGATAGATCCGCCCTATTTTCATCTTAAGTAACGCTCCACAAATCGCAACACTTGAATACCTCACATTTCAACACTTAGCTCTCACCCTAAGTGCAAAAGTGCTTCGTTTATGTCAAATCATCTGTTCCACATAACAGCATTAAGTGTCTACACTCTTCGTCTGGCTCATCATCAGCATTGACAGCATCTTCACGAAGAGACTGGAAATGACCACAGTTTTATAGCTTCTGCATAACCATAACCCTTTGAACCATACCGGAGTTTGTGCGTGTGATATGAGGTTGGTCAGTGGGTGTAGTCCTAACATTCCTCTGGTCCTCTAGATTGGGAGTTCGTACATCAGTGGCAGCTTACCTCGCAGTCTGTTCATGTTACGCCCCAAGAGTCGTTAGCACTGACCATCTAACCAGCCTTTTCGTGACTGTTTAAGAACTTAGTTATTTTTGTTGCCTGGGCTATTGGGTGGTCTTAGACTGGAATCGAGGTGTCCGGACAACGGCTGCTGCTGTCCTCCAACCACAAACTCCGAAACAGCGTAAGCCGCTTGGCCATCTAGTATCCTCCGCTTGCGGGCGAACCTCCAACGCCGGTAGAGAGCAATCCTCTAATTAAAAACGTCGAAATATTTGGTTTGACACTTTCGACAATTTAACTAGCCACCTGCAGTTGCCTAGCCGGATTCCCTACCTGCAACATAGTCCTAGACATAGAACTTGGAATCCCCAAGAGCGAATAGATAGAGGAAGCGAGAAACGTTAAGGATATTCGAGAACTATTCTAGTGTGCATGCACAGTGCCCAAAAAGACCCTGGATAGCGAGAAACGTGATATTCGAGAACTATTCTAGTGTGCATGCACAGTGCCCAAAAAGACCCTGGATAGTGAAGCAGTCGACGAAGAAGAGCAAGCAACAGGGATATGCTGGCCTCCATGTAGCAAGACTTTGTGTCGCTTTACCCCGTGAAGTGGGGACTTGAGAACAGCAACCAGGATTTCGACCGGGAAGGGGCTGTTTTAACAACATCTTCACAGCAAAATGCGTATACATGCAGTACAACCTTGGTGTTCCTTCATCTTAAGGTTGCTTTCGATTCTCGTCAGTTTAGTTCTCAACATACTTGCGCAACAGGGTATGCCCCAGATACTCGCGAATACCAGGACCGGACGGTCTGTATCCAGCCCTCTTCAAAGAAGGCGGAGAATTCCTGGTGACCTAATTAACAAAGTTCCTCGGTGCTATATGGAACGAAGAGAAGGTGCTTATAGAATGGAGGATGTCGCAGTTATCCCTATCTTCAAAAAAGGTACGTGGACGCTTTGTGAAAACCACGGTGGCATCAGCCTGGCAACTGTAACATCGAAGGTGCTGTCTGATCTTCGAAGGTTCACTGAATACAGGGGAAACAGATCCGTGAAAACCAAGCCGCGTTCCCTACTGTAGGAGGATGCATCGATCAAATCTTCACTCTCCGGTAGATTCTGGACGCTGCTTCCAGCAACCAATGATGGTTGTGTTTCTTGATCTGAAAGCTGCCTTTGACCCCATGGACTGTCAGGCACTATGGAGCAAGAGTGTCCCCCATAAATTCTTGACCCTTCCTAAGGCACTATACGCCAAAACCCTTGGCCGTGTGAAAGTCTGCGGGATGCCTCTGAGTTCACCACACCAAGTGGTGTCAGACAGGGCTGTCCTTTTTTGCCTCTATTCAACTTCGTCATTGATATGATCATGGAAGACTCGCTATCAGCCTCTTATGCCTGTGGGGTCGAAGTGTTCCCGGGGTGTCCGCTCACAGATATCGCGTACGCAGACGACACAACTCTTCTTGGGTCTGACTACGTGGTAATGTAAACAATATCAAATAATCTAAACAATTCCACCCCACGGTTTGGCATGCGCTTCACACCTGCAAAGTGTAAAATGCTACTGCAAGACTGGATGGGCCCGGACCTTGAACCCATGCTTGCGGATGTGCCGATTGAGGTAGTAGACAATTTTTTTTACCTGGGCAGCTGCATCAGTTCCGGTAGTCTCGCGAAAGGTGATATTTCCATCCGGGTTGGGAAAGCCAGAGCAGCTTTTATGAACCTGCGTCACCTGTGGCGTAGGCGTGACAGCTTAAACGTCTGGGATCGAATTTACAATAATGCAGTACGCTGCGCGCCGAGGACGTCAAAAGATTTTCAGTGTTTGACCATCGATGTCTTCTGAACGTTGCCCGAGTTTTGTGGTAACACCCGATCAGCCATTCTGAAGTACGTCGTACGGTATTCGGGAGAAATAACTCATCCTCGATAGATGAGCTGATCATGCTGCATAGATTGTTCTGTCTTGGCCACGTGCTGCGTACGCCAGTCGGTCGGCTTCCTCGAAGGGTTCTTTTCGCGCAACTCTGTGGAGGGTAGAGACGAGCCAGAGGCGGTCAAACAATGACTTGCCAGTGAAGTATGAAAGCCGCTACCAGCAAACTCAGCTGCGCTGGTCATTGCCGTCTTCCTGGATAGGGACCCTGAGACGGACCACATCAGTGGTTAGAGACATTGTCAGACATGACCCAGTTGCACCCTCAGTGGCGCTCTCGTATCCAAGCATAGCTCCCTTCCCAATCCTCTACTTGACTGTCCACCTACGGTTCTGTATTCACCCACCTCATTTATCAGCTCTCGCCTTCAATGCGCAGCTACCTCCCCTACCTCCCCAAGTCATCAGTGAACGAAACTGTAGCAGCTACAACCACTGTACAAGTACGCGGCTCTTACAGCTAATCATGATGATGATGAAAGTTAAGGTTGTGAAAATTGCGTTGGAAAGATTTAATATGATGAACAACGCCAGAAAGATGAAATCGTTGGTGATTTACATGGCAGGGAAACATTAGATGACCACAGTTTCAGTCGAGGAACCCATCACTCTAAGTCCAAAAGGCACCGCGACGTATTTGGGCGTCCGCTTTGCTTTCAAGGGATAGGAGTGTACAACCACCGACAGAAGTTGCTGAAACTGCTCGATTTTGCGTCGAAGCTGCATCAGNTTCTGCTTAACAAACTTGTGCGTGACGTATGCACACTCATAAGTCATGCAGTTCAATTGAACATATTTTTCAGTGTTAGATTTGTCTTGAACACGAGACTGGTCGATGGTCCCTGTGTTTTGGTGGACGTCTGGTATCATCATCATCATCATCATCATCATCATCATCGACAGCATGATATCAGTGTTCAACACTGATGCTTCACTGCCGTCTGGTAACAAAATGTGAGCTTCCACGCTGAAGGTTGGCGCTTGAAATGAAAAGATCGAGTCCTTACGCATCTGAATGGATCGATCACCACTATATATGGGAGTACATAATTTACCTCCGAACCGTCCAATTCGGTCTTTCCTGTCACCAGTTAGAACTACGATGTCAGTGATTTTTGCCTGTCGCAGAAGGTTGGAATGATTGCGACGGAGTTTGTCTTTGGCGGCCTCCATGCTGTTGTTCACCGGCTATAGGCAGAGCCGGAGAAAAAGATCGTTTCCGTCCGCTTTTGATCGTTTCGCTTGTCCTTGTTAGTCGCATGTTACACAGTCTACGGTTCACAGGAATCCAGTCTAGTAAAGTCCCCTCAAATTTCGAGATCGTGGCGATTTCCTTGCGATGAATACCACGAGACACAGTCTAATGATCGCTAAATACTCGAAGAATAGAGCGTGATCGGGATAAGTTTATCTGAACCGTTCGGAGGTCCACCGCCGTGACAGAGCTTACGGCACCCTTTGTCTAGACGCTACAGACCACTATTTTCGGCACGGGATGCACAGGTCAGGGAGAAGGGTGTTGACCGTATTTCTACATTATTCCAAATCCTTCAGCAGCGTCACATGAACCGCTTACCAACAATCTCGGTTTCCTTCTCTTTAGAGCCAGTTTGCGTGCGTAGTACAGCGTTACTAACAAATCCCATGCTGTGGTGGCTCTTAAACTCCAACGCGATAACAGCATTTACTCAACTAAACAACTTAACCACAACATGGTCTACAGGTTTCAGTAATTTGTAGACGGGGACGCCAGATGGCACTCCGGCGGGTGCTATTGTGGAGGTTGACGCCTGGGAGCATTCATTTGTCTGTACACAGCAGAAGTGTTCACCGTCGTCCACTTGTTAAACGGACCTACCACCTCTGACGCGCCAACTTGAACATTCTTATATGGGTCGGATAATACACCTAACCTCTACGACCTGAGTGGGCCCCTTGAGCTTGTGATAGAACTTGATTCTCAGCAGTTACAGCTGGAGCAAGGGAATGGACGGATTATTGGGGATCAGTCCTAAAAACCACACACTAATGGGTCAGCGGTTGGCGGGAACTGTTGATGAACTATCTAATATGATCGGAAAACGATTGCATCCGGTGCCCTCCTGTAACCCTATGCACACTCACCGTGCATCAAATCTCCATGTTTAACTCCCGGCTATCTCGGGTCACGTCCTCCTTCCGTAGCCAAGTGTGCCATACCATTGAGTCACTTATTCAGGGAAGGGTCCCTAGAAAATCACAGCTGCTGCCTGGCGGGTAAGATTGTTGTTTGAAAGTCTATGTTCAAGGTATCGGGTTCTGAATTCTCCCACTGCCTTCTGGATCAGATTTCTGCGCCGAAGACTCATGATGTGGAGCACCTGTAATGCCTTCCTGCCTGGATAGTACTTACCAGACTGATAGATCCGCCCTATTTTCATCTTAAGTAACGCTCCACAAATCGCAACACTTGAATACCTCACATTTCAACACTTAGCTCTCACCCTAAGTGCAAAAGTGCTTCGTTTATGTCAAATCATCTGTTCCACATAACAGCATTAAGTGTCTACACTCTTCGTCTGGCTCATCATCAGCATTGACAGCATCTTCACGAAGAGACTGGAAATGACCACAGTTTTATAGCTTCTGCATAACCATAACCCTTTGAACCATACCGGAGTTTGTGCGTGTGATATGAGGTTGGTCAGTGGGTGTAGTCCTAACATTCCTCTGGTCCTCTAGATTGGGAGTTCGTACATCAGTGGCAGCTTACCTCGCAGTCTGTTCATGTCTCCTTACGCCCCAAGAGTCGTTAGCACTGACCATCTAACCAGCCTTTTCGTGACTGTTTAAGAACTTAGTTATTTTTGTTGCCTGGGCTATTGGGTGGTCTTAGACTGGAATCGAGGTGTCCGGACAACGGCTGCTGCTGTCCTCCAACCACAAACTCCGAAACAGCGTAAGCCGCTTGGCCATCTAGTATCCTCCGCTTGCGGGCGAACCTCCAACGCCGGTAGAGAGCAATCCTCTAATTAAAAACGTCGAAATATTTGGTTTGACACTTTCGACAATTTAACTAGCCACCTGCAGTTGCCTAGCCGGATTCCCTACCTGCAACATAGTCCTAGACATAGAACTTGGAATCCCCAAGAGCGAATAGATAGAGGAAGCGAGAAACGTTAAGGATATTCGAGAACTATTCTAGTGTGCATGCACAGTGCCCAAAAAGACCCTGGATAGTGAAGCAGTCGACGAAGAAGAGCAAAACTCGTGTCGCTCTACAGAACATTATCAACAGGCCACCTGCTTATTCGGACTCTCGACCCATAACTTGGACATTGGTATATGGGGCTGATAATACACCTAACCCTTTGAGCTCGTGGTAGAACTTGATTCTCAGCCGTTGCAGCTGGGGCAAGGGAATGGACGGGTTGTTGGAGATCGGTCCTAAAAACCACACAGTGGATAGACTTCTGACTAACATTCCTCTGGTCTTCTAGATTGGAAGCTCGAACATCAGTGGCAGCTTGCCTGGTAAAGATGTTGGCTACTCTGTCGGGACCCGCGCCGGTTTCGCAAATCATTGAGTGCCTCTGCTCCGACCTGGTGGCCCTGACAAGCTCACCCATCCTCTTCAAGGACGGGAGTGAAATCCTCAGTTGGTGCTTGTCCAACTTATTTGCCCCTGCGGGCACGAAATAGACTATCCAAACCAACTGAGTTGAGTTCAAAATAGTAGTCATTTTCAAAAAGCGTGCTCGTAGTGAGTTTGACAGTCATAGAGGGATATGCTTGGCCTCCATGTAGCAAGACTTTGTGTCGCTTTACCCCGTGAAGTGGGGACTTGAGAACAGCAACCAGGATTTCGACCGGGATGGGGCTGTTTTAACAACATCTTCACAGCAAAATGCGTATACATGCAGTACAACCTTGGTGTTCCTTCATCTTAAGGTTGCTTTCGATTCTCGTCAGTTTAGTTCTCAACATACTTGCGCAACAGGGTATGCCCCAGATACTCGCGAATACCAGGACCGGACGGTCTGTATCCAGCCCTCTTCAAAGAAGGCGGAGAATTCCTGGTGACCTAATTAACAAAGTTCCTCGGTGCTATATGGAACGAAGAGAAGGTGCTTATAGAATAGAGGATGTCGCAGTTATCCCTATCTTCAAAAAAGGTACGTGGACGCTTTGTGAAAACCACGGTGGCATCAGCCTGGCAACTGTAACATCGAAGGTGCTGTCTGATCTTCGAAGGTTCACTGAATACAGGGGAAACAGATCCGTGAAAACCAAGCCGCGTTCCCTACTGTAGGAGGATGCATCGATCAAATCTTCACTCTCCGGTAGATTCTGGACGCTGCTTCCAGCAACCAATGATGGTTGTGTTTCTTGATCTGAAAGCTGCCTTTGACCCCATGGACTGTCAGGCACTATGGAGCAAGAGTGTCCCCCATAAATTCTTGACCCTTCCTAAGGCACTATACGCCAAAACCCTTGGCCGTGTGAAAGTCTGCGGGATGCCTCTGAGTTCACCACACCAAGTGGTGTCAGACAGGGCTGTCCTTTTTTGCCTCTATTCAACTTCGTCATTGATATGATCATGGAAGACTCGCTATCAGCCTCTTATGCCTGTGGGGTCGAAGTGTTCCCGGGGTGTCCGCTCACAGATATCGCGTACGCAGACGACACAACTCTTCTTGGGTCTGACTACGTGGTAATGTAAACAATATCAAATAATCTAAACAATTCCACCCCACGGTTTGGCATGCGCTTCACACCTGCAAAGTGTAAAATGCTACTGCAAGACTGGATGGGCCCGGACCTTGAACCCATGCTTGCGGATGTGCCGATTGAGGTAGTAGACAATTTTTTTTACCTGGGCAGCTGCATCAGTTCCGGTAGTCTCGCGAAAGGTGATATTTCCATCCGGGTTGGGAAAGCCAGAGCAGCTTTTATGAACCTGCGTCACCTGTGGCGTAGGCGTGACAGCTTAAACGTCTGGGATCGAATTTACAATAATGCAGTACGCTGCGCGCCGAGGACGTCAAAAGATTTTCAGTGTTTGACCATCGATGTCTTCTGAACGTTGCCCGAGTTTTGTGGTAACACCCGATCAGCCATTCTGAAGTACGTCGTACGGTATTCGGGAGAAATAACTCATCCTCGATAGATGAGCTGATCATGCTGCATAGATTGTTCTGTCTTGGCCACGTGCTGCGTACGCCAGTCGGTCGGCTTCCTCGAAGGGTTCTTTTCGCGCAACTCTGTGGAGGGTAGAGACGAGCCAGAGGCGGTCAAACAATGACTTGCCAGTGAAGTATGAAAGCCGCTACCAGCAAACTCAGCTGCGCTGGTCATTGCCGTCTTCCTGGATAGGGACCCTGAGACGGACCACATCAGTGTTTAGAGACATTGTCAGACATGACCCAGTTGCACCCTCAGTGGCGCTCTCGTATCCAAGCATAGCTCCCTTCCCAATCCTCTACTTGACTGTCCACCTACGGTTCTGTATTCACCCACCTCATTTATCAGCTCTCGCCTTCAATGCGCAGCTACCTCCCCTACCTCCCCAAGTCATCAGTGAACGAAACTGTAGCAGCTACAACCACTGTACAAGTACGCGGCTCTTACAGCTAATCATGATGATGATGAAAGTTAAGGTTGTGAAAATTGCGTTGGAAAGATTTAATATGATGAACAACGCCAGAAAGATGAAATCGTTGGTGATTTACATGGCAGGGAAACATTAGATGACCACAGTTTTCAGTCGAGGACCCATCACTCTAAGTCCAAAAGGCACCGCGACGTATTTGGGCGTCCGCTTTGCTTTCAAGGGATAGGAGTGTACAACCACCGACAGAAGTTGCTGAAACTGCTCGATTTTGCGTCGAAGCTGCATCAGGGAATGGAGATCACAACGATCTACGAACTACTGCTCGGGTCTAGGCTTAAACAACCTCAGACCTCGTTCTTCGTTTGGGGTGTATGGTAGGTGTTACAGCGGAATGTTTATTATTATTAGTGTTATTATTATTAGTGTTATTATATTATTATTATTATTATTATTATTATTATTATTATTATTATTATTATTATTATTATTAT